TCTAACTTGAAGATGCATGCATTGGAGCATGGGGATGGTGATCTGCAGCTGGGCTCTTTGACGTGGTTTTTGACGAGTTAGCAGGTGAAGCAAAGAGTGGGTTTTAGGGTTTGGTTTATTGGATTGATGGGTTAATGGGCTGGGTTTGTTGGGTTGGTTTATTTATTTATCTATTTTTATTTGGGCTTCGGTTATGGTATTAAATGGGAATGAATGGTTAATGGGCTGGGAATGGATACGGTCCGGTTGGTTGATGTTGCAGATGATTGTCATTGTTGGGCGGGCCTGCGTAGTGGGCTTGATGTTGGGTTTTGATATATTTTAGTGGGCTTATTATCTTTGGTCCAAATGATAGTGGGTATGGTTTCTGTTTAACGGGCTGTCAAATTATGTTCTTGTAATTGGTTAGATTACTTGGGCTTAGGTTTTATTTCATGGGATAATTTTTTAGTGGAAATTAAATATTCTAATAGATTAAAAATCCTCATTTCATGAATAAAATGCCATGTTTAATATTTCACAAATTATAAAATTTTTTAATTAATTAATATATTTAAAAATTAATTATGTAACCTAATTATATCAACCTCAATTCCCTCGACTCTCTCTATTATCGTCTCTCTCTCTCTGCTCTCGCCCGTCGCCTATTCATTTTAGGAGTAATCTTCGATGACTAGCAGCATAGGAGCAGTATCTACAAAACAGATCTACGATCGACGAGCGAAGTGGTGTTTCGTGTGGTGCCGTCGCCTCCCGCCCACTATCCATTTCAAGATCTAATCGCTGGAGACTAGTAGCGCAAAAGCAGTAGTTACAAAGCAAAATCTACGATTGGAGCTTGAAGTACTATTGGCTGGCCACTGAATCTGGTGGTTGTGGTGATGGGGGTTGATAGCGGTTACAGTAGATGGTGGGGTTGTGGTGGTTTTGGTTGTTAGATTAGTGGTGGTGATGGTCTTTGTGTGGTTGGCGGTGGCTGATCTGATGGTTTGGTGTATGATGGTAAGTGGTGGCGATGGTGGTTTGTGTGGGATGGCATAGGTGACGAGATCCAGTGGTTTGATTTTCATTGTTTTGGTAATTGGTTTCTATTACTGTAGTGATGGTTAGCTTGCAGCGGTGAGGAGTGGCTGGAAAGTTTTGTTTGTTGAAAGTTTTTGTGCGTGGGTGTGGTGGTGTTTGTGCGACGGCGGTGGCGTGTATGCGACGACGATGGGTTGATGTTGGTGATCTGCACAATTTTGTGGTGACGGTGGTAGTTGCAGTGGATTGCAGTGGTTGTGGTGGTCGTGACGGTTTGGTTGATTCTGTGACGAATAATTAGACCCGTGACATAAAGATTGTGATTGTGACTCCCAATTATAACTCACAATTTGGGAGTCACAGTTGGTCGTGGCAGTGGTTGTGGTGGTCATGGCTGTGGTCGTGATGGTTTGGTTGATTTGTGACTTACAATTGGATAAGTGAACTGGAAATTGTGACTCTGACTCACAATTGGATACACGACCTGAAAATTGTGACTGTGAATTGTAAGTGTTGGTGGTGGTCACAAATTATTTTGTTGATTGTAACCATTAAATTGGCGAATCTGTGACTAATAAATAATATGTAATCGATGAAAAAGATAAATTGTAACGGAAAAATAATGTGTGACCAAAAATTGTTAATCTGTGACGATAATTTGATAATTTGTGACTGTATAATAAGCTGTGACTTGTAATATTTGTGATTTGTGATCAATAAATGAATTGTGACTTATAAATTTTTCGATTTGTGACCAATGAACAAATTGTGACCTATAAAATTTTTGAATTGTGATCGTAAAATAATTTGTGACATAAAATTTTTGATTTGTGATAAAAAAAAATAATAAGTGACGAATTAAATCGTTAATTTGTGATCAAATTATATAAATCTATGATTTAAATATATTTAATTACTAAAATAACTAAATAATTAATTAAATTATAAATAATTTTTAATAAAAATCTGATTTTTGAAATTTGAAACTTATTTTCTTATTTTTGAAATGTGTCATAATTAATCTCTTATTTATGAATTTTTCCCTATTTTTTATTATGTTTGGGTTGTGAGAATTAGTTGGGTTCTTATTTTGTGTGTTGAAGATTTATTTCTTGGGCTGCCTTATTAAGTTCTTTTTGGGCTTCTTTGTTTGGGATGTAGGCGGCTTCTTTGTTTATTGGATTAGGTTTCTATAGTCTGTTTTATTCAGACTGCTTCCTCTTGGGCTTATATTCTATTGGGCTGTTATTCGCTTGGGCTATGATATATAACTGATTTTTGGGTTATGGATTGGTTGGTTTATTTATTGATTTGGATAAAAACATTTTCTTGATTGGGCTTAAGTTCATTTAATTGGGCCTACTCTTTGTTGGTTTAGACTTGTTGATTTGTTGGATTATTTCAAATTTTACGGCTTGTCAATTCGGCACAATGGATTTTATCAAGATTAGATTGTTGAGTTTTGGTTGCTCGGGTGATGAGCTTGAGTTTTGGATTATTAGAGAATGATCATATTTGCATTTTTTAAGGAGTAGGCTTTTTGGTGGAATTTCTCTCAACTACAGCATTTTAGCCAACGATATATTGTTGGAATCTTGGCCAGTATATTGGTGTTAGAATTTTTATCGGAACACGGATTATGTGTTCGACTGAGTTCTCTCGACATATAGAGTTCACTATGCGTGTTAATACACTACGTGAATTTCTTTTAGAAATTCTTTTTGAGGAGTGAGTTCTCTGAAATATCTTTGGAGTAGTTCTTGGTTGTTCATGCGCTATTTGTTGTTCTTGATTTCTTGTCGTCACCAATTGTCATAGATGGTTGCTTTGATTTAGATTTCTTATTTGTGGGCACAAGTCTTATCATCATCTTTGATTCATGATTGCAAATTGATGTCTTTACCAGTATCAATTTGTTGGGATGTTAATGAGATTAAACAAAGATTACGAATATCATCAAAGATTACAGAAAATTATGACTATGTTATAATTTATTATACCATATATAAATAGATTGTTTTTACCATATTTAGTTTGTCTTATTAAGTATATTTGACATGACATTGATATTGTTTTCACAAGTTTAATATATTTTTTAAATCAATCTCACGATAAGATATATTATTAAAAAAAAAGTAATGATATCCAATACCACTTGTATCAAGCACCAGTTTAGGCGGTAATTAAATGTTATTAAATGACAAGTTTCCTTAAATGCAATATCACATAATTAATTTATTTGAACCTTTCAAGTTTGGCTACATAAACTAATGCTATATGGCATTGTTCTATTAAAACAATGAAAGAAAAACAGTAGAAGGAAGGGCTTGGTCTAACCTCGAAAAGTGAGTTATCCATTGCTGTTTCGTAATTAATTTGTCTTATTACTTATTAGTTGTTGTAAAGAGGGTTATCGAATGATGGGTTCCACTTCAAATCACAGAAATTCAAAATAACTTGAAAAGTTCTGCTTGGACGAACGTTATTGTTGGGAATAAACACAACAATTTGTATATTGAAATATGCTACTTGTACGTAATACGATATTCATATCAGTGTTCATGTGGGGGGGGGACCCAACACTAATATGGACACCTTGATGTACGTGTAGCTCCACCCTGATATATTTGGACTGAAAGGAGGAAAAAGAGAGTTCTTCACATGCTAATCACTTTTGCATAGTATATCAAGGCTGTTAATAGATTCCTTAGATCAAATGTGTAAGGCCAGACCAAAAAAATAAAGCTGAAAGAAGATTACTCTAAAGGGGTTGCTTTAATTATTTTTTAGTTGTTTAATTCCCAATTTGTCGACTTTTGCTGTGTCACCAACCTTCATTTGGGTGCACTATTAATATTATGTTGCAAACTTTATCAATGATATGATCACGGTCACACTACATCACGAGCCCACTACACTTTTCAAGTATGGCTTTCATTTATCTAAACGTGTTGCAATAGCGGTCAACTGGATACAATAATATACCAAACCGATCATTTCTAGTGTTTATTCTTATCTAGTCTAACATCGTAATCGTTTGAGGAATCAAAAAGATGTTGCCATTTTTCAGGTATGGCTTTCATTTGACACCATTAACCTCGATTCATTGCAATATATCGACTCTCTCCATCCCACAGAGATAAATTTATTTATATTTTCACACAGATTAAAAAAATATAATTAAAAATATATATTTTTCTAACAATTTTGTAAAATATTCCTACATTAAATAATTATAATTATTTAAATAAAAGTAACTTACATTTGTTGTTAAGACGCATTAAATTGGAACATATTTAAAAACTCTCTCAAAAATATAGTTATCCATAATTTGGAACAGACGTAAAGGAGAGTAAGCCTATAAACGGAGGGAATGTGATTTATCGACCATAATTTTTAAAAGCCAAAAGCTACTTGTGATGGTTTTTTATAAGAGGAAACTAACACGGCGTGACTTTCTCAGGAAACTTCTATCATCCCAACCCGTTTCAAACAAAAACATCTGCCCAAACCAAAGAAGTCCCAAGTACCATATGCAGAAAATTAAGCCTTCAAAGCAGAATGGGAAGCAAACAATGTATTCCGATCGACTATAAATTGACATCACAGATTTCAAGTTTTTAATGATACTGAAGTTAAACCAAACTGATCCGAACTGAATCAGCATTCGCAAGTCGAAGCCCCAGGCCATTCAACATAATCCCATCTCGAAAAACTCACGGGTTGGATAACTCATATCACCAAGGACCACTACCATCCTCTATTTCGTTTGGGTCGTGAAACAATAAGGCAGAGAACAACACGGTAACCAATAATTCATTACCGATATAAAATTTGTGGCCAAAAGCAGGGCAGAGATTCCCCACACTAGGATACAAATTTTATACCTCACACATTTTGAAGAACATTTGGGTACAGGACAATCTCATCCTAATCTTACAGATCATAATAAGCCAAAAACGTAAACCGGCCACAACTTGAATAGAACTAAATATTGCATCCAGATGAAGAAATTCGAAATTTCTCAAACCAGAAATAAATAATATAAGTTCCACAAACTGACACTAATATGGAAATTTCCCGTACAACAATATGAACATAAATGTTTGCTGGAAGGAGATACGAAATGAAATGGTAAAAAGAGAGAAACATAACCACTCTGAAACTACAAATGACCTCTTAAATAAAACCGAATGTGAAATATGATAAAACACCATGATCGGAATATCCCATTCGTCATAACCCCACCTTCAAAACTCCTCCATGTCAACCAAACTGTCTTCGTTTGAAAGATAACGCAAAAAAACCAACTAAATGAGTAAAAAGTCAACTCACCATAAGCAATAATAGCAGCAACTTAGAAGCACTTCCTGTGGACAATAGATGGACCAGATTCATCATATTCGCCCTTAGAAATCCACATCTGTCATGTCACGAAGAAAGAATGTCAATCACAATCATGGAAACATTCACTCATTCGAATTTTCATTAAAGAGTTCATTTAACTAGTGATAATAAAGTTAACATTAATGTACCTGCTGGAATGTGCTGAGAGATGCGAGAATTGACCCTCCGATCCAGACACTGTACTTTCTCTCGGGTGGTGCGACAACTTTGATCTTCATGCTGCTGGGAGCCAAGGCAGTGATTTCTTTGCTCATACGGTCAGCAATGCCAGGGAACATGGTGGAACCACCACTGAGGACAATGTTACCATAGAGATCCTTCCTAATATCAACGTCACACTTCATGATTGAGTTATAGGTTGTCTCGTGAATTCCAGCAGCTTCCATTCCAATCAAAGAAGGCTGGTAGAGGACTTCCGGGCAACGGAATCTCTCAGCTCCAATTGTAATAACCTGTCCATCGGGCAATTCATAGTTCTTCTCAACAGATGAGCTGCTCTTGGCGGTCTCAAGCTCCTGTTCATAGTCAAGTGCCACATAAGCAAGCTTCTCCTTCATGTCACGGACAATTTCTCGCTCAGCTGATGTGGTGAACATGTAACCTCTTTCAGTGAGGATCTTCATGAGATAGTCTGTGAGGTCACGACCAGCAAGGTCCAGACGAAGGATGGCATGGGGCAGAGCATACCCTTCATAAATGGGGACAGTATGACTCACACCATCACCAGAATCCAGAACAATACCTGTCATCAAAAGAAATCCATACGTCATTAAATAAAACTACTACTGCATGTTCAACAGAGACATATTTAGATTCCAAGAACTGATACACACCAGTTGTACGACCACTTGCATAGAGGGAAAGAACGGCTTGGATAGCAACATACATTGCTGGAACATTGAAGGTCTCAAACATGATCTGGGTCATCTTCTCTCTGTTAGCCTTGGGGTTGAGAGGTGCCTCAGTGAGAAGCACAGGATGCTCCTCAGGAGCAACACGAAGTTCATTGTAGAAAGTGTGATGCCAAATCTTCTCCATGTCATCCCAGTTGCTGACTATACCATGCTCAATAGGGTATTTCAAGGTCAAGATACCTCTTTTAGACTGAGCTTCATCACCCACGTATGCATCCTTCTGTCCCATCCCAACCATAACACCAGTGTGTCGTGGTCGGCCCACAATACTTGGGAAAACTGCCCTGGGAGCATCATCACCTGCAAATCCAGCCTGAATATAAAACATAAAACAGTTATTTCATGTAACCAACTTCATAATTATTCACAAAGTAACAAAGGCTTCCAACAACAACTCAAGAATATTGACTAACCTTCACCATTCCAGTTCCATTATCGCAGACAAGGGGTTGAATATCCTCAGCATCGGCCATTTCTATTTACTGGGAGAAAAAAAAAACATATCTAATCAGCACGGAGAATCACATGTATCCATATCAGACAAGAAATAAAAACATGGCATATTGACAAGTGCACAGACACGAAACCTCATAGATTTCAATCCTCAGTGGTACAAAGTTTTCTGATATAAACATATAACAAGGATGACAACGTATATAGTTATCGCTCTGTATAAGCCTGCTACAATACCACAGATATTCATGAATCACCCAAACTTCCTGAGCATAAATAAAGGGGAAAAAAAATCATATTAATCACAAAGGGATTACATACACCATTACAGTCATCCATTTAAAATTTGATTTCGTCCCACTTTTTTGAAGTCAAAACAGAATCAGAGAATCACATGTATCCATATCAGACAAGAAATAAAAACATGGCATATTGACAAGTGCACAGACAGGAAACCTCATAGATTTCAATCCTCAGTGGTACAAAGTTTTCTGATATAAACATATAACAAGGATGACAACGTATATAGTTATCGCTCTGTATAAGCCTGCTACAATACCACAGATATTCATGAATCACCCAAACTTCCTGAGCATAAATAAAGGGGAAAAAAAATCATATTAATCACAAAGGGATTACATACACCATTACAGTCATCCATTTAAAATTTGATTTCGTCCCACTTTTTTGAAGTCAAAACAGAATCCAGAAGGAATGATATTAAAAACACAAAACATGAAAGGAACAAAAGCACCACCAAATTAAAGCGACAATGCATACAACCAGAGATTCATAGTCATCGTCATCAGCTTAGATGTGTGAAGATAATTTTTTATTCACAGACGACCTAATTTCAAACAAAATAAATTAGAATTCTCAACTAGAAATTGCAGATCTGTAAAAACAGACCAGATCTTGTCATATATTATGCTAAAAACAACAGATCGGCCCAAATGAATTATTAACATTAAGAATTAAAAATCTAAACCTTTATTCAATAAATTATCAACAAATAAATCATTGCACACACAAACACTTCAGATCTAGTCATTGAAATACATTATAAATCAAATCGAACAATGAAATTTGCTTGCACCAAAAAAAAAATAACAAAAATGGGAATAAAAACTGAGCTAATTTACCTTAATTTGAGAGAAACGTTATCGAGAGAGCAAAAAACTGAGATTGAATAGTTTTGTAGCTTCGATTTTGATTTTTGCTCTCTCTTTTCTCCGTACGCTAGGCCGCCTAGAGGAACGCTAAAGGAGGAATCAAATGAGGTAGGACTGAAAAATGGGGAGACGTCAATTTATATACACACGCTTGTATGATTTGCATTTTGGGTTATTTTTATTAATTTTTTCCTTTTTTTTAACTAATTTCTTTTTGAGTGAACAGAAATTACGGGGGTAAAAAATGGAGTTCAAATCTGTGGTTGTGTCATTTTGGCTCATTAAAATATTGTAAAAATGCTAAAGGTACATCACATTTTACGTAAGGATGTCCATTATGGACACTTGGAGAGGCGCTTGAAGCACGCAAGAGCCCACAGGTGAGACGTCAATGGCAAGGAGCCGGGGTGTCCATAATGGACACCCTTAGGTATGGAGTGATGTACCCCTAGCAGCACTATAAATATTGATCCACTGTCCTATTTGGTTTGGTAGGATTTTTTTAATTAAATTTTGATAAAAAATTATAAAATATATGATTGAAAAGTTGTAAATCTCATTATATATAATTAAAATTGATTATTGAATTTAACTTACATTTAAATTTTGATAACTTTCAAACGTGGGCTTAACTCTGGTTTGGTTCCAATTTTCTAAAATTTATTTTCTTCTAAATTCATTTAACAATTATATCTAATTTCTAATAAAAAAGGGAAGGAGGGTCTACTATTGATGCAATAGTAACTTAATTCAATTTTACTATGTATGGTGTCATTTTTTATTTTTCATTTTGTTTATGTCAAACAAATATTTTTCCACACATCATGCCACTAGCATTAAAAAATAATAATAATTTTAGTAAATATAAATTGCTATAAGCAAAAAAAAAAAAAAATCCTTTTTCGCACATGAACTTTAAAAAATAAAATAAACTCTCCGCACAGTGCGGAAAGATGGCAAATCGTGTGCGGAGTAAAAAAAGGAAGAAAAAACTCTCCGTACAGTGTAAAGTAAAAAAAATCTCTACGCACAATGCAGAGAGATGTCAAACACCATGACAAAACTCTCTGCACGGTACGGAGAGATGGCAAATCATGTGCGGAGTAAAAAAAGGAAGAAAAAAACTCTTCACATAGTGCGGAGAGTTGGCAAACTCTCCATACAGTGTGAAGTAAAAAAATCTCTACGCACAATGCGGAGAGATGGCAAACACCATGGCAAAACTCTTCGCACGGTGCGGAGAAATGATATTCTGTGCGGACTCTCTGTACAGTGCGAAATAAAAAAAGCAAAAAAAAAAAAATTTCGCACAGTACGGAGAGTTGACAAACTCTCCGTACAATGCGAAGTTAAAAAAAAAAAAAAAAACTCTTCGCACACTGACTGTCACGTGCGTTGCACGAGTTTTACATTTATCGTATTTTTATTAGTGTATGAATTTTAGTTTTTTGGAAAGTTTTTGAAGCAATATCTAGAAATATTTTTATGATATAGAAATTAATTGCAAATTATTTTTACAATTGTGTAACAGTATTGTGTCATTTAGAAAAAATATACTTGTATATTTCATACTTGAATAAAAAATATAGGAGATTATACAATTTATTTTGTTTGTATTCTTTGATAGTGTTGATATGATTGAATTGAATGTGAAAATTATATTTCTAAATTTTGTGTAATTTAATATTGAAAAATTGAAGATTGAGCACCATATTCATGTGCATTTATATTTTGTACTTCATATATATTTAATATTTATTTTATGCTTATGTTTAAAAAATAAAAATCTAAATTTTTTTTTGTAATTCGGTTTGGTAAGTGAATGTACGGTGTTCTGCATACTCGGTATTTGTAAGTGTAAAAATCGGTACATAAAAATACAGTAAGCTGCTAATACGATAAGTTGCAAATACGGTAGGCAACATATACGATAAGTTGCAAATACGGTAGACATCATATACGGTAAGCTTCCTGTCAATAAGGTAAGCTGCATATGTGGATTTATAATTTGTTATAAATGTATAAAATTTATTTAATATTGAATATCTTAAGTATTAAATGTTGTAATTCAATATTGTTTCATTTTTTATAATTGTATTTTCGAGAATAAAAAAAAAGTAGTTATGAAATTGCTAATTTTTAAATGTGTTTTTTTGTTGAAAATAAAAATATTTTTTTTATGTTATTTGTAAAAAAAAATTATTGTAATTTTATTAACATAATAAGAAGATTTATTATGCATTTTTATTTTTTGCATTTTGTGAAGAATTTTGTTTATGGTGATTGACAAATATTCTTCCACACACGCATCATGCCAATAATATTAAAAAAATACTAATAATTTTAGTATATATAAATTTCATGAGACAAAAAAAAAATCTCCATACATGAGCAAAAAAAAAGACTCCGCAAAGTTCGGAAAGATGACAAACTATCTTTCCGTACATTGTGAAGAGAAAAACAAAAACACTCGGAGTTTTATCTACAAGTTCCAAGAGGCATTTTCTCAAACAACTTTTGAACAATGCATTGATCACTTTAATTCCTGGCCTACAACCCGAAAATATAATTTCATTGAAAATTGTATCCGCTTCTAATATCCAAGAGCTGTTATCACGCAAGTGTAAAATATTGAATTTGGGTGATACCCTAGAGCCTCCATTTGTGAAAGCAATGCCATGGTATTATCAATATTCCCTTCTTTGCACAACTCACATATTGTTTTATTATATGAATCACGAGAAAGTTCCTTTCCAATACCGTAAATATGATTTGCATGCTCAGAAATTGAGCTATGACTGAAATTTAAAGAAGACATAATTGATTTTGAGTCATTTTTTTGACTCTATTTCGTTGTATATACGAAAAATTTACAGTCTTGAAATTTCACTTGTAATTAAGGAATTTGAAAACAACGCTTTGCATTATGCGGAGAGTTTTTTCTTTCTGTATTGTGTGGAGAGTTGGTTTGTCATCTCTCCGCACTGTGCGAAAAGTTTGTCAACTCTCCACACATGGTTCAACTCTCTCCGCACTGTGCGAAGATATTTTTTTCTTTCCGCACACGGTTTAACTCTCTACGCACTGTGCGGAGAGTTTTTTCTCTCCGCTCAGTGTGGAGAGTTTTTTTTGCTCTTCGTATTGTGCGGAAAGGTTTTTTTTTTTTTAATATAACTCCGCACCGTGCGAAGAGTTTAACAGCTCTTCGCACATAGTTCAACTCTCTCCACATTGTGTGGAGAGGTTTTTTTCTCTCTGCGCCTTTTTTTATTTTTATTCCGCACTTGGTTCAACTCTTTTCGCACTGTGCGGAAAGTTTTTTTTTTCAATTTTACAATATTAAACTACACAAAATTTAGAAATATAATCTTCACATTCAATTCAATTATATCAACATTATCAAAGAATACAAGCAAAATAGTTTGTATATTTCTTATTCAAGTATGAAATATACAAGCATATTTTTTTTCTAGATAACATCCTGCTATGCAACTATAAAAATAATTTGCAATTATTTTCTTATATCATAAAAATATTTTTAGATGTTGCTTCAAAAATTTTTCAAAAAAATTAAAATTTATACACTAATAAAAATACGCTAAATACAAAATTCGTGCTACGCACCTGATAGCGACTAGTATTATATAAGATTCTTAACTTTTATCAATTTTTTAACAATTTATTTCATTAAAAGTGGATAAAAATTGTGAATAGAATGATACGTATAATTAAAAATAAAATTTGATTAGTTTGACTTACATTTTAATAAAAAGTAAATTTACCAAACAAGCTCTTAATTAGTAAATGTATCTCATATTGTGTGTTCTACAAAAATGTTTAAATAAAAATTAGCGACCTAAAAGCACTTAGAATGAATTAGATAGCATTAGACAGTATTACAATATAGAGTAATGCTTGAGGTACATAATGAATACGATAATAGTGTCCATTATGTTCAAGAAGAATAATCCTACAATATAATTGTTAAATTTTGTTTATTCTACTATTTAGTCAATGTTTGATACCAATTAAAATTTAGATTTTAATAGAATGAATTAGATAGCATTGGACATTATCCTAATAGAATTGTTGAATTTTGTTTACCGTACTATTTATCCAATGTTTGGCACCAATTAAAATCTAAATTTTAATTTAAATCAAAGTCAACAATTAATTTTAGTCACATATTTTACGGGTCTCACAAATTTTTTAACCATATATTTCATCAACTTGTATCAAAATATACTAAAAAACAGTAATTCCCGGGCTTAGTATAATCTAATACTAAGCAAAGCAAACATGTCGCAAATGTCTGATTTATTGCTCTGTTCTAAGTTTTCTCATGTTAACTCTGAATCAAAATTAGAAGTCATATTTTGTTTTTTACATTTTTTTTTCTGCCATTTGTCACTGTAACAATATTGAAATGTTATGAATACAAGTTGATCTAAGCACAAATTAATTTCTTCAACATAGTGACTCGCGTGCCTATAAAACCTTTGACAATGTATTCTCAAACTATTTAACCTTTTTCTCGAGTCGTTCTTGTAAAAAACATGTGCAATGCAAAGCAATTGTAGAATTGCTACTCATTTGTAAATATTTATGCCAAACCACTTCAAAGTCAACCAATCTTAATCCGCGTTACACTCTCATAGCCTCTAATCTATTTATAATGAAAATTTATATTAGTCATCAAAGTTTATTTATTTCAAAGTAAAGTACTGAAATTTATCTTTTATTTCAATTTGATCATTTGGTTAAATTCATTACCTTTTCTATTCAAAAATTCGACATGGAAACTCGAAATTTGACTGTCCATCTATTGATTAGTTCAAATCAATTAAATAATTCGAATTCCAAAGAATTAATAGAAATCGAAATATTAATCTATCCCGTTCATTTCAATAAAAAATATTAACAAAATGCTCGCCTCGTCCTTATGCAGGAAATAGATAGTCAACTCTACAATGATTGCCTAAAGCGAACCTACGCAAAAAAGTCGTACGTCTTTTGTAAAACCAATGACATTTTCTTAGTTTGAAATCCAGCTCAACAAAATAATTAACAATTGCTAAAACTTAACATATATATATATATATATATATATTTTGTTTA